TATCACAGTTTCACCCAAACCTCTATGGCGGAAGCCAGCCATTTATCCCATGAGAGTGAGTATATTTTGCATAAAACACAATTGTTCCAATTTGCTTTTTCCAAATGTTTCAATGTGTCACTCAGGGTGTCTGGTATTAATGGCGTAGCTATGGAAAATGACAAATTGTGTATTTATGCCCATTTTCTAGGGCGTAAAAAGAGGCCTGACATTTTCCCAAAGTAAAAATTTAACAGCAAATAATTTAAAATATTTAAGGTAGATATTACATCTGCTCTGGCTAGTTAGAATTCTTCCAGCTGCAGAAGTTAAAGCCAAGGTGAGTAAGACAACAACATTTTGAAATCATGCCTGATTTCCCTCAGAGAATACTATCCTTGGGAACAGGATAAGAGTGGGAGGAAAAACAGGGTAAAAGACCCAGAAGAAAAATAACCCTTCTCAAAACAGGACCTGAGAAAAAATAATTTGAACAAATAAAAATAAACAAGCTTTGAAAGTCTTTGTGCTATAGTTACTTGATATTTTAAGGCTGGATAGAAATATCATTTGAAAATAATAAAAGTATTGTAATAGTCTGACCAAGAGCTAAATGATATTGGAAAAAATAAGTATTGGAAATATTCTTTGGTCTGAGACTGTTACATATCAGCAGCTCAACATAATTATTGAATATTTTGGAATTAAAACTATAATAGAGCTTTTATTGTTCTATACATTGATTATACATACTACAATATAAAAAGTCTTTGTTTTTATCTTCCACTCACTCTAGAGATTTGCAGAAATGGAGTTTCAATGAAGTAGCTTCTATATTCTTCTTTCAAAGATTGCCCTAAGGTAAAACCATTGGAAAAATAAACAATTAGCATCTAAATGATTTTTTTTTCTTCCCTCTCTTCCACCAGTAGTTCCTTCCTATCTTTCACTTTCTTTTTCCTAGACTGATTGGTTTAATGTTTGAGTTTTATCTAACTCTGGAGAGTCTTCGATTATCCAGGCAGCACCCCAACTTGAGGTATATGAGAAATTTAGGAAAAATATTTCTGGAATAAAATAAAAGGCACCTAAACAATGTTTCTAAACATTTCTTTCATTATATACTCCCCTTCGTTAAGGAAAACACACTTAAATGAACTAAAATCTAAATTAAATTTCTCCTTAAAGAGAGAGATTAAATACTATTACATCTTGTTGAATACAGTTGAACATTGGTAGGCCAGTACTCATTGTAATACCCAAGGTATTTTTAGCCTTCTAAGAACCAATGTTTGTCCCCCTGGAGCAATAACCTCCCTTTGAGAATGTATGCTATCGAATAAGGTTAGAATGGATAGCAGCATTTTATAACACATTGCTGTACGAGATGGTGTATGGAGGACTAGTGATGTGGGTGCCAAAAGAATTTACCAACAATCAAGGAATATAGAAAAGTAAGTTTATTGAGAACACAGGACACTGTGAAGAGGAGCAGTGGGTGAGTTTCTAACAGAGGAACTGTGCCATCAGGATGACAGGTTGTGGTTTTCTTTTTTAATATAAAGGAGTAAGGGGAAAGGTTCTGTTAGTAAATGTACTCACCTCAGACACACATTTCTCCCAGGACAAATTTTTCCTTGTTGATCTTCCAGGAAAACCTGCATTTTATTTACATTTTTATATCAAAGTTGCAAAATGGCAAGATCATTTGCTTTGGCCTCACAGGAGACTACTTACCGGGAGAGAAATTTACTTTTGGCTTATGCTGGTTTGGGTTAGTGTCTGGTCAGTGTATTATCTCAGTACTCATGAGTATGTGTCAGGCAGGATTGCTTTAGTTAGAGAGTTTTGCTTCTGAAGAGTTTAACTCTCTTGCTGCTAGTGGATTATGACTACATCTCTTCCTGACAAATCAGCAAAAATCACTGACAAGAGAAAGTGGTTATTTCCGTAACTGCTCTGAGCTGCATGGGGATATTGTTAGGGGCACTCCAGTTTGTCAGTCGATCAGAGGTTGTGGGCCCTGTATGAAATTTGAGTGTGAAGCAACTGAGTGGCTTAGTGAAGCAGTGAAAGACCAAAACATTTTTCAGAAAGGGACCAGAATCCCCATCCGGTCATCATTTGGAGACAAATGTCTGGAGCCTGGAAGACACAAACTTGACAAGGCAATTGGGTAGACACAAGTCAAAAAATGAGTAGCAGTATAATGGCAACTTGGGCCCTTTTTACTTAGCTTGTGGCTGGTCTTTTTATCTGGGAACATTTTAAGACCTGAATTTTCACTGGTGGGTCTGTTAAATTATACCTCCACTGACTCAAGTCAAACATGATTCTGGCGGAGTCCTTTGTGAGGGTTGTTATGAGGCACTTACGGATGAGAACACTTCCTTACCACCTCTTGGCTCTATCTACCTTTAGGAAGGCTGACACAAGTGACTCTCTTACGACATTTACAACAATCATGCTTTTCCTTACATTTCCCCTCATCTTTATTAGAATTTTTCTTGGAAGGCAGCACTGCTCAACCATTGTTTTCATTGGCCCTCTTGTTGGAATGCTGTTCTGGTTGTTAAGGTCTTATTTGGCCCCACACTGGAGAGCTAGGTTTGACAATTTAAAGCTGGGCATGGTGGCACATACCTGTAATCCCAGCACTCAGGAGGCGGAGGCAGGAGGATCTTTGTGAGTTTGAGACCAGCCTGGGCTACCAAGTGAGCTCAGCCTGAACTGCATAGCAAGACCGTGTCTGAAAAAGACAGAAAGAAAAAAAAAAGACAATTTAAAGCCAGTGCCATGGCCCCCCCAGCCATATTTGAGCAACAAAGAGGTTTAAAAGGAGTAACTCTTAGCCCAAATTTACCTGATGTCCGTTGTTAAATTTAATTTTACCTGTTTTGTAGGTGATAATGAACATCTCAAAACATTGGATTAGATTTCTTTGTTACTTTCATATTATAGAACTTTGAGACTCCAGTTACAAAGTTTTAAGGAAAATATAAAATAAAACTAACCAGAGCAAAACTCATTTGCTTTTTGAACCAAGATTTTTGTTATATCAATTTTGCTAAAGATAATCAAAGCAAGAGATAATTTGTTAGTAGTACTTGTTCGAATCTTTTCCATGAATCTGACTGTAAATGCCCCAGAGAACAATCAGAACTATGGATGACAAAAGACTTAGAAAAAGCTGGGTATGGTGGTACATGCCTATAATCCCAGCACTTGGGAGGCTGAGGCAGGAAGATAGCTGTGAGTTCGAGGACAGCTTGGGCAACATAGTGAGTTTAAGGCCAGGCCAGACTACACAGTGAGACCCTGTCTCAAAAAAACAAAACAAAACAAAACAAAAGACTTTTAGAATTTTGATGAGTTTAGTAATTGTTGAGGTAATCTAGTTATTTATTTTATATAGCATTTTAAAATAAAAATCATGATTGACATATCAGAACTAGTAGGACCTCTTGTTCACAGATATATTAGGTAACTAACACACAATCCTTTTGATTATCAGCATGACACTATTTGGAATGGACAGTGTTTAGGCACATTTCATAATACAATTAGGAATCCATAAATATAGCCTTGAAAAAGTGTCATTATAAACAATTTTGGTTTTGGGGAGGCACCAATATGGCAAAGAGGCATTTCTAAGCTCTGTACTTTAGAAGAAGGCTTGTATGTCTGGCAAGCACAAATGTATGCAACATACAGAGAAGTCAGCAATAACAAGCATTACAGCTTTATAGAAAGGTTTATGTTTTATAGACACTCATTATGGATTTATTTAGCTTTTTTACTTTTAAGTTGAAATTTAGAACCCTATATCAGGTCTTGCATAGACCAACAGCACTGACAAAAATCAAAAGATAGTTTTAGATCTCGTACAAGATCAGGAACCAGTTTTAGTAACCACAATGGGAGGCAGGTATGGTGGCACATGCCTGTAACTCCAGCACTTGGGAGGCTGAGGCAGGAGGATCACCCAAAGTTCAAGGCCAGTCTTGACTACATGGTGAGACCATGTCCTAAAAAACAAATAAAAACACACACAAAGAAAATAAGTGTATCTCACTTATATAGTAATGAAATATTTTAGTTAAAGCCAATAGATATAGACTAGATTTTAAATGATGTAACTGTACAGTGTACAAAGAACAGAAATATTAAAAAGTTTTGATCGTTTATGTTTAAGGACTAGATGTAATTTATTTTATATAAAAGAGAGTCCTCACTGGTCACCCTGTATTAAACCCAAGTATTCTTCAAACTTTGTACATCTACACAGTGTACTCCAGTATGGGCTTAGTTATGCTTGTTTCTGTACCAGGCCAAAGGCTAGTATTTAGTGTAAGTAAAAGAGGGTAAATTTAAGTCCAAATGTATAAAGCAACTGTTAAGCTGTGTCTTTGAGCATTGGATGTTATTCTAACAACATCTCCTTTTATTGTATCAAGAGACTAGATAAACTGTTTTTGGGTGTGTGTGTGTGGGCACAGATGGGATTGAACCCAGGACTTCCTGCGTGGTAGGCAAGTGCTCTGCCACTGAGCTACATCACCATCTCTTTTTATTTTTTATTTTGAGTCTCATTAAGTTGTCAGGACTGGACTTGAACTCGGGATCTTCCTGCCTTCGCCTCCCAAGGAGTTGGAATTACATATGCATGCAACCAAATCTGACATGATGCACAGTTACTTGCTGGTTTCTATATGGATTATTAATGCTTAAATAGAAGTAGAAATCTTTGTAAAGAAACTATGGTGACATTTTTACCTGGAACGTTTTGATTAGCACCACCCCACTGGAGAAGGCAGGCCCATGGAGGAAGGCCCATGTGCAAACACAGCACTAGCTCTAGAGAAAGGTACTAGAAGGCTGGCACCAGAACTGCTCAGGAAAAACACGCTTACGGGCGAGTCCGCGCTCCCCGCTCTGGCTCCTTCAGTCTCGGAGAGCACACCAGGCCACTTCTGGGGCATCGTGCTCATTGCGCATGCGTATGTGCATGCGCAGCCAAGAAGGTTCCAGAACCTTCTCCGTGCAGAGCTTTCGGCCAAGGGCCCAACGCTCGCCGTCTTTGTGGTGTCGCTACTGAGTGTACTGCTGCCCACGCTGACCCGGACAGGTGAGACACGCATCGCAGGAGAAAGGGATAGCATTTGGGCCCAGCGGCTCCTCTTCTGTGTCCCCACACCGTCTATACCGCAGTCTCCTGGCTAAAAGCAGATGGAGTGGGAGCACGAGAGAGGGGCCACGAGGCCGCGGGGCGCAGAGGGGGGTGCCCGGCAGGGCTTGGTGAGGGCGGGAGGGCAGGAAGGAGGGCGGCTGAGTCAGTCGGGGGAGGGGACGCTTTAGCGCAGGAAACGGGCGGCTGCAGTGGGCTTCACCTCCGAGTGCAGGGCCTGGGCTGGCCTGGGAAATGGAGGCCTGTGGAGACGGGCGGTTCCAAGACAAGAACAGCCCGCCTCCGCTAGGCCCTGAGGAAGGAGAAAATCCCATTGGGGCTGCATTTATGGCTACATAGGGCTTTTAGGAGAAACAGAAACCTGGCCGTTTATGACTGTCCTGGGAAAGAAGCCAAGGATTGTCAGGACTGTTAAAATCAACAGTTATTAATTCCCCTTTGGACAAGAGTTTTAACCTCACTGGCCTTGAGAAATTCCAGTTCTGTGCCTCTGAGGAACTGAATAGCGATGTAACTATAGTCCAAGAGCCTGTTCTCAGTTTTCACATGTGCTGTCCCACCTCCCCCTAACATCGTTTTGGTTATGGAATCAGTGTGCTGTCTTTAATTAGGTACACAGTGTGACTGATCCTGTCACAGTGAAGAGAAGAGGCTTCTTTTAACTTGTGAGAGGGGAAGTTTCTCTCATATTGAAACCTCCAGGCCTGTTATAATTTCTCATGGTGTGAACTTCCCCTCCTTTTGACAGCTATTGCTTCTATTAAAGGATGCTGACTTGAAAAAGGTTTACTTCTTGGAAGTCTCAGAAGCTCCAATTTAGATTGGGATTATTTGTCTTTTCTCCCTATTTGGGAATTCATTTTTTGCATTCAAAATATTGTAATATGGCAAGCTAACTACAATCAAAACATAGTTTTGTAGGATTTCATATCCTATGTGCATCTCAGGTCATTAAGAACAAATTCTTCCTTGATCACATGGCCCCTTTCTTTTATATTTCTAATATAAAGCTTTAGCACTGAGTTATATTTGTGAATAAATGATCTCAAATGGGAATATCAAGACATCATTTCAAAGACAGCTTAGTAAAAGTTGTCAGTAGCACACCATTTTAGTTCTGATTTTTGGCAAGTCAGTTTACAATCTGATGATATGTGATTATGGTTGTTAAGCTGCTGCCTAACCTGAGGAAAAGTGATTTTAAACAGGGAAAAGATACTTTTATTTTGAAAATAACCATATTTAAATGATTTGCTGTAAAATTGTTTAACTCTACAAGAAAAGAAAACACATTCTTGAAACTTATTTACTGTTTGCCATTCATTACAATACATTCATCAGACTTTGCTTACGATGACTCTAGACTCTGAGGACACAAATATGAATAATAATTTATGCCGTTAAAGAGCTCACAGTTTAGTGTGGGGAGGCAGCCTATAAATTAATTACTGTAGTAGAAAATATTGTACAAAGTGGAAGTGCAGGGAAGTCCACAAGCCCAGCCATAGGTTCTCACACAGCTGTTTGAATTAGATCTGAAAGGGAGAATTAGTTGAAGTTTGAAATATATTCTAGAAAGAAGGAAGGTTTTTTTATATATATATATATAAAAGGATAATTAGGACAACTGTACTGCTGATGTCTCGTGGTTTATTGAAAGGAACAGTTAATGCTTTACTGATTTATTTTTTGGCCAATTTTGCATGCTTATATCTAGTAATATGAACAACTAATTTGAAGACAACAAGATGCAACATAACAACCATTGTTGAATTCCTGTCATTTTGTTTGGTAAAACTCTATCATTTACAATTTTTTGTTTTTTTTTTTAATTCTCTTTAATGGTTTGATTGATATTGCATTCTTACACCTGGTAATCTGACCAATTTCAGTGAATGTAATATAACAACCACTGTTAAGCCCTATCATTTTGTTCTGAAACCCTGTATCATTCTTATTGTTTTTGTTTTGTTTTGTTTTTGTCTGTGTTGTTGGCATTTTGCTATTGTTCTTTATTTAACTCTCTTTAAAATAAAAAAAGAAATATATTCTGAGCAGTAGGCATGAGAATGTATGCTCAGTTTCAAAAGCTATAAGTACTTTGGCAAAGGTAAGGGTAATAGTGATTACAAAGTTTAGTGACTTATGTTTTGAATGTAGATTAATGCTGCACAGTAAAGATCTATTTAGTATAGAGAAGAGAAAGTGTAGTCCTGCATTCAGTTGAGTGATACTGAAGGAATGATGGGAAATGAGGATAGACTTATTTCAGGACAATGAAGGGACCTTGTAACTTTCTGGATTAGGATACATCCAGAGATTTTTAACCAACAGTGACATGCAGAGATTTATGCATATGTGCATACATAATGGCTATATGTACATCTAACATTTGTCATTGAACAGTACCTATTAAATCATATTTTATATAATAATTTCTTTGTGTCTATTTAGTTTATATAATTTTAAAATGTCTCCACATTTCCAGTCTGTTTATTCTCAGTAGTGGGTATTTGAGTTTCTTATATTTCAGCAATATAACAGTGTTTTTATTTCTTAAGATTGTATTTTCTTGATGCCAGGTGAAATAGTGCGTGCTTCAACTAATTTAGGAGGTCAGGAAGAAAAAGAACATGAGAAAGCACAAAGGAGCCAGGCATGGTGGCGCATGCCTGTAATCCCAGCACTTGGGAGGCTGAGGCAGGAGGATTGTTGCGAGTTGGAGGCCAGCCTAGGCTACAAAGTGAGCTGAAGCCCAGCCTGAACGGCATAGTGAGACCCTGTCTCAAAAAGACAAAAAAAAAAAAAAAGGAGAGAAAGCACAAAGGAGAAATTCTGCCCCTGCAAAGTGTTTCTGTGTGTCAGTTATGGTTCCCATAGTATTTGTTATATTGTGTTCCTTTTTTAATATATCAGAATGTGATAATTATTTTTCCATTTTGCTAAGTGAATTCTCTTGATATTAATGAAGATGTTCATAACTGGAAATATTCTGAAGTTTTTTGGTTTCATTTCATTTATTTATTTATTTATTTTTGGTACTGAGGATTGAACCCAGGGCCTTCACCCTTAACTACATCTTAGCCCTTTTTATTTTTATTTTTAAATTTTGAGACAAGGCCTCGCTAAGTTGTCCAGGCTGGGCTTGAACTATGATCCTCCCGCTTCAACCTTCCAGACTCCTGGGATTACAGACGTGCACTACTACACCTAGCCACTTTGTCTTTTTAATACAGAGCATATGTTAAAAAATAAAATGCTAGGTACAGATTAAAAAATACACTCTGATTTACCTAATACAATCCAAATTTTATGTCGATTATTTCTTTTGTTGTTGTTATTTGGTTTTCTCCGTATCTTTACTCCCAAGTAAAATGTTCAGTTTGCCTGGCTTAAAACTTTACATTAATGGAAGTATGCTGCAGTACTCTCCTGCAAAATGGTTTTTTTGTGCAAGATTGATTTTGAGATTCATCTATGTTATGTATATTTGTACTTCATTTATTTTCAGTGTTGTATAACTTATTGAATAAATATACCCTAATTATTCTCATATGGATACTTCGATTGTTTCAGATTTTTGTTAACTGTAAACATTGTTGAAAAACTGTCACCAAAATGTTCTTGCACATGTCATAAGTAACAGATAAAGGAATTTATCTATAGTATAAAGTAGAATTACTAGAATTAGCAGAATTTTAGAATTCTACTAGAAGTAGAATTACTGGGACATAGGGAATATACATTGTGTGTGTGTGCAATTTTATAAGATAATGTCAAACTATTTTTGAAAATAGTTATAACAATTTTTCTTTCACCAGCAATAGAAGGACATCCTTGTTGCTCTGCATCCTTGCTGACAGTTGATATTACCCAAGTTAAAATTTCTTGCCAGTGTGTTAATGTTAAATGGTATAGTGATATGAATATATATTTCCTTTATTACAAATGAAGGTTTTCATCTTTTCATATTAGGAGTTTGTATCTTTTTCTTCTGTAAATTTTTTACACATTTCTATTTCATGTTGTTCAACTAGTTGTCTTCTTTTTTTTTAGCCATGGGAATTCTTTATGTATTCTATATACTAGTAATTTGTCGACTAAATGAGATGAGAGAGAGATAGTACAGAATTACTCATAGGTTTCTGGTTTGGGGAATGGACTGTATGCTGGTGCAATTAAACTAGGACATAGAATAGAGGAAAGAAATAGGTCTAGGAGAGAAGGGACTTACTTTCAAATACTTTGGAGTTTGAAGTTACTGTAGAATAGTGGTAGCAAACCTATGAATATGGCATGCGTGCTGCAGTAGGTTATTTCTTATCACTGAAAGTTCTGAAAGGTTCACCATCACTGCTGTAGAATATTCAGGTGGAAGAGGATAACAAAAAATTGCTTATAGGAGTTTGAGGCTCAGACCAAGTTCTCTTATGCCATATCAGTCGTGTGGAAATCTTATGTGATAGGCCTTTCAGAGGACTAAATTGAAACTCTGGTCCACTACTGGTACCTATCCCAATTTCTGTAGCCCAAGGATTGTCCAATCTAAGTTTCTTATGAAATAAGATGGCAAGTGACCCACATAACACTAGATATAGTTATAATTATTTTATTATCTTTTTTGTATCTCAGTAGTTAGATAATCATTTCCAATATCTCCAGCACAGCACAAAATTTTTATTTTGAAAACCATTCGGCACATGCAAAACATACATCTAGATTTAAAAATTTCTTCAATTACTCATGGTTCTTAATTACACAAGTTGGTCCATATACACTGAAAACAATATAAGAAACATCAAAAATTCTGTTTTGTACATTCTTTCATTAAATAGTATTTACAAAAATATTTTCAGATGTATTTAGCTTCCTATAGGTGTTTAGAATTCTATGTATATAACTACTGAAGAATGATGTGGGTCCTTGGAAGATGGCAGTAGAAGCTAATAAAGATTGTTCTTAAAGAGAGGATGGCAGTAGAATACAGATTGTTCTTAAAAGAATAGATTATCACCCTGATTGTATACCTTTTAGTTACTTGAGAGTCAAAGAAGTCTGGTAAATCCAGAAGTAAAAGATTCCTTAGGAACTCTTAGAAAATAGGAGAGGTGAGGAAAGAGTCAGTAGCAGCACTAGGATTTGGCACATTTGCTAAGAATGTATGTAATACCTTGGCATAGCTTATAGAATAGTGCCAGGGCAGAGTTAATACTAGTTATTAGTGCTATTACTATTAGTAATAGAACTAGTAACACTATTTCTAGAGATATTATTAGCTCAGGATGATGACCCATGCACATTCTCACAGGCGTACTAGCAGCTAATTTGGTAACTGGTTGGTCACCTTTCAGGAGAACTATAAATCAGGAACAGTGAGAGTTTGACATATACTCTGTAGGGAAGTGAAGAGAGAGGCAGCCTCTCTGTGATCCGTCCTTATCAGCACTGCAGTGATTTTGCTTCTAGCTGGTTTTAAGAAGATCTTTTAGACCTGTAAGAAGAGAAAAGGCATATAGAAGTTGGATACTCAGACTCTAGCTTTAGTTTGGGTTCTACTTAACATACTGAGTTCATAGCCCAAAGAGCCTCAGGTAAAGGGTTTGATGAGCTTCCTGCTGCTACAAGAAGTCATTGTAGATTATAGGGGCTCTGTGTTTTTAGGACAGAAAGGGCTTGGGAGAAATTTGGCATTTTACCTTAGATACTCCTCTCTATTTTTTATTTTTTTTATTTTAGGTTTTTTTCCGGTACTGGGAATCAAACTCACGACCTTGCGCTTGCCAGGCAAGCGCTGTACTGCTGAGCTAAATCACCAGCCCTTACCTTAGATAGTTACAGCTTGCCTTAAGGTTGAAGAGATATTAGTATATGATCATAATATGATCATATGGTTAACTTCTAGACAGGTAATCAGGGTAACTTTAGATACCACACAAAACGACACTGCAGTATTTATATAAGTAGAGGTAGAAAAGGGCATGGTGGCAACTTTTAAGCTAACAGTCCTACTGCAAAGCCCCACGCAATATTTCTAACTTCCCAAGATTGCCATTTCCTGAAAAGCTCTTCTGCAAACAACAACAAACTTACCTTTCTTTTCTAACTGCTTTCAGTAAATTCTTTATGGCCTTAGACTCTGGATTCAGACATCTCTTCTCCCCGTTCTTTTTCATTGTGGCACTATGGAATTAAATTGAAGTGAAAATATTTAAAACAGCATTGGGCCAACAAAACAGATAGAATACATAGGTCTAAAGTCAAACCTTTAAGTTTTACTTTATTTTCTTTTGCTATACATTAGTTCTTATGTCATCACAGACCTTTCAACTGATCTTTTATGATTATTATCACATATTTAATATATCATTATAACAGCGGAAGTGGTTATTAGATGAGATTTTACTCACATGATCTCAACACGTGGACAAGATTGACTTGCAGGGATAATTTCAAGTTTCTCAACGGACCTTAGATTAACAGATTGAGTACTAGTCTCGATGCAGATGCAGCGTATTGTTCTGGAAAGAGGTATTCCTGTAGGAAAAGAAACAGTGTTTCATTTTAGGCATTAGATGTGGACTAGGTAATATTTGGTAGGACTGATATCCCCATATTGTCACATATTCAGTCTGAGGAGGAATATATCCTTATTATAACACAGGTTTGAATGATTAAATAGTTGATTATGTGCAAGAAGGGAATTGCAACTTGTGATCAATTAAGCTTACTTAGTTAAGAAATTATCTGTGTCTTAGTCTCTTTTATTCCTTTACATTTTCTTTTTCTCTCTTTCCTCATCTTTCCCTCTTTCTTTCATTCTACTTGTTTTTCGGACTTCATTTGTATTAGCAGAAGGAATCTCTGATCATAATGAAACTTGCAAATATATTATTAGTATTTTTGGAATTTATATCCAGTCCTGATTTTTCATTTTATAAATTAAATATCCCTTAATGTTCCTTACCTTGAGTCCCACTCAGAGTCAGGAATATGAGGCAGAAAATAAGAATGCTGTGATGGTTCATGACGCTGAGACTGGAGATTCTTCTATAGTAGACTCAGAATGCGTCTCAGCAGTTGAGGCTTAGAAAACATGGGGATAGTATGCAGCATTTATATGTAAAAGTATTTTCCCTCCCTAGCTCTGATTGGATAATGTGACTGTCAACTCAGCAAAACTTGCTGGCTATTCTTTGGGGAAGTCCCACGTTGCGAAACCAAATGTATTATTTGTTTTTATTGTGGCTTCCAAATGATGGAATTTCCCTCTGCCGCCTTTTTTCAATGAGAGTTAGGTTTCACTTTCCAAAACATGAACAGTTTCTTGAAAATCAGAAATTTATTGCATGCATAATAGTTTTTAAAATGAAACTTTCTTCTCTTTCATCTCCTGTAAAATACCAAGTTAATCTTTGTCACGGTCCTATTTTTAAATAGTGCACCCTAATGTTGTGTTTTGCATCCATTTTACTTGCAGCAGTAAGGCATGAGTAGAAATATTTTCTATAATTTGCTATACATTACAGATGTGTTATACTTTGTCATTTCCCCCCCACAATAACCCTATGAAGAAGGTAGTAATTTTCATTTCATAGATCTATGAGGTTTGATGGTTGTATTAGATTGCACACATTTATTATAGTTCTGAAGCATTTTCACAATATTTGATGGTTGTATTAGATTGCACACATTTATTATAGTTCTGAAGCATTTTCACAATATTTGTTTTAAGCTTTTGTAATAGCTTTCAGAGCTTTTTAAAAAAATACCTATGTTTTGAGGCTGCCCTTGAGCTCACTGTGTAACTGAGGCTGGCCTCAAACTTGTGGCAATCCTTCTGCCTCAGTCTCGCCAGTGCTGTGATTACAGGTGTGCACCACCACACCTGGCATTAAAAATATTTTTAATATTACTAGTTAGGGCAGTGTTTCATCCTTTATAGGTAAACTTAGCCTTTGGTAATAGCAAATTGTATCTGATCATTAGCTATTTTAGCCAGGCAGTGCCCTTTGGTCAGTTCTATAAAGTAATAGAATTGGTCTTTGTAGATAGGGTCAAATATATGGAACTGTCAAATTTCAAAGGATTCTACGCATGCTTTGGCCATTCATAACATGTTTAGAATAATTGAATAACCTCTGATATAACTCCTTTGGGAGAAAACACTACTTATTTGGATATCTAATTTCTGATGCATTAAACAGGTTTCATGTCTGCAAGTGGATCCCTAAATGAAAATGACATAAGATAACATCTACAGTGATGTGAGAAAAGGGGTCATAGATGTAAGAAGATTATTGTGGAAAAACAAAGAGTACTTTTTGAGGAAATAAATTTAAAAGGAGTGATACAATTAAAAGGAGTAGAAACAGACTTTGGCAGAACAACTTGAGACAGGAGGGAAACAGGTTGATTTAATATGGAGTTCAGTTCCAGAAGATAGCCTGGTAAATGGAAAAAAATAAAGGAAAAATTAAAAGAAAAAAAAGTAAAGGAAAAAATGTATCAGTGGTTGAGATAGTGACAAAGTTAGCTGAAATCAGCACAGTTAAAATGAGTGATAAATTGAGAGAAAACTTAGTTTCTTAGCACTCAGTAGTACTTGGCTGATTGTTATACCAGATGGCAACAGTAGAAAGCATGTGCTATCCTTTGTAGTGGAAGAAGTATTGGACCTGACAGTTGAAATGTAATAGTACCCAAGGTGGTAGGGATGTAGTTAATGGCAAAAGACTCTTAGTTCGATTTGCAGTACCAGCATCCAACATTAAAGAAAAGAAAAGAAAATGCTGTATACATGTATATAAAACATATATATACACAAATGTGTTACCCAGTAAACAATTACATAGGGGAGGTTACTCACATATACTATTTTTAAGAAGTGGTTTTCTCAAGGGGCTAGGATGTGTGAAAGGAGAAAGGATGGAAGGGAAAATGGAAAAATGTGCTAATATCGATTGGAGGAATTTTTATGCCCATATTGAATTGGAGAAATTTTTATGCCCATATTTTGTATTCTGAACAACTATCTTTAAGATAACAACATGCAATTTTTTTTTTTTTTTGGTACCAGGAACCAAGCTTAGGACCTTGTGCTTGCCAGGCAAGCACTGTGCCACTGAGGTATATCCCCAGCCCATGCAATGTATTAACCATTGCTTTTGTCCCATTGTTATGAAACTTTGTTTTACCTTTTTTTCTATAAAACAGACAATATTGATTTGGATTCTGTATTAGATTATATTAAGTAGTATATACATGTCGTGGACTTCTTGGTGACTAAGAAAAAAACATTTGTTTCTTACTGCATTCTGAAATTTATATTTTAATCTTGTGAAATACATTGATTTGTACTTAAGTAAATTTTATTGCAGATTAAAAATCATCTCAAATTTTAGATATCATGCAACAATTTATTATTTGTAGCTAGACAACTCCCAAATCTTATCACCATGCTGAATTTTTTTCTTTTAATAGAAATATAGATGTGTTCCCCATTTTTTTGATATTTTTAACTGTTGTTCCTTGTGGACTCATTATAAAATGTCTTTGCTTCTTACAGTTTTAGTGTTAAAATCTATTTTGTTAGTGTAGCCAGTATGTATGTTTCTTAGTTCATTCACATTCAATCTCTTTGAGTCTATAAAGTATGTCTCTTATATATAGTGTATATTTGAATGATAAGTTTTTTAAAAATCCATTCTGCCTATCTTTTAATTGCAGTGTTTAATGCATTACACTTAATGTAATTAATGATACAGTAGGTATTAACATCTACCATTTTACTATTTCTTTTTTATGTCTTGTTTCTTTTGTTTCTTTGTCCATTTCTATCTTCTTTTGTATAAAATACTTATTACCTAGTACATTATTTTAATTTCCTTGTTTCTTTTTAAAGTGGCTTTGTGAAGAGATAATTTATGTACTGCAAAATTAACACATTAACATGTAAAATTCAGTGATTTTTAATAGTTTCAAAGCATTGTGTAACCATTACCGAATCAATTTTAGAACATTTTCATTACCACAAAAAGAAACTCCATATGGCTTAGTTATCACTTGCCAGTCTCATAGTCTTCTCAACCTTCCTACCCTTCACAGCCCTGCAACAATGAATCCACTGTCTCTATAGATTTGCCTGTTATGGAGATTTCATGTGAATTGAATCTTTTTCATCCCACTTTACCTGTAACCCAGCCACTCATCCAATTTTTTTTTATCTTGGATTGGTTTTGCCTGTTCTAGAATTTCATATAAATGGAATCATTTCAGCAATGCATGCTTTTGTGCAAGACATCTTTCACTCTGTGCTTTATAGATTCATCTATGTATAGTAGTTGCCTGAGTCACTTTGTTCCTCTTTCAAATATATGGGTTTGTTTCTTGTTGATGGACACTTTGATTGTTTTGAGATTTCAGTCATGTATAAGGCTGCTGTTGTGAAGATTTTTTGCATAAATGTTTTGGGGGAACATATGCCTTAAATTGGGTCCACATTTAGCAGTAGAACAGAGTTGTATTTTAAATACATAAGTGATCATGTCAGTCCTCTGCTTTTTTCCAGAAACTTCTACTTATATTTAGAATAAAATCAAAATTTTAATTAACCCATTTTACTAAGTTCTCTGTGATTTAACTGCTTCCTGTATGTCTAGCCTCATCTCACATTAAACCATTCATTGCACTCCAGTCACAGTGACCATGGCTTTAGTACTTTTCTGTATTTGGAATTCTTTTCTTTATTTGGGATCCTTTCCTTTATTTGGAATTCTATTCTTTGCATAGGTGGTTCCTTATGGACATTTAGATTTTAGCTAGATTGTATAGTCTCTTCTTCCACAATCTGAAACATTCAGAACCCTGCTTTAATTCTCTACATGACATTCCTCACCATCAGCTATTTGTTTGGTTTATTTATTTGTTTAATATCTATTTCTCCACACTAGACTGTGAACCCCAGGAGGGAAGGGATTTTTTTTTCTTATTGACAGTTGTATTCCCCAGCAATGAGAATATTACCAGCGTATTGGAGGAATTCAATAAATAATTGGATGGATGAATGAATAGATGGATGGGTGGAGTGATGGATGAATCTTTACAGACTTTAAGTAGTAGCATAGCCAGATGTGATGATGCCTGAGCTACATAGTTCAAGGCCAGCCAGAACAACATAATGAGACCTTGTTTCAAACGTAAAAAAAAAAATCACAACATAAATAAGAGTTGTATTTCTTCAAAAAGAATTTACATTGGCTTATCAGATTTTGACACTTAGACATGGGTATTATTTTCCCTGGCCTTAGGAACCAAGTTTTACTTAAGACTATAATTTCCATAGAAGTTATTACAGATATTACAGCTAACTGTAGGGCAGAATCTTCATTTCAGGGACTCTGGTGTAAATATATAATATTTCTTAATTACTTCTTGTCAGTATCTCTGTCCCCTCATTCTTGCACTGAATGAATGAGGTGATAGAGCTCCCAGTGAATATTATATATATGGCTATGGGTGGTCTTAGAAGAAGAATGAGAGTATTGGACTTGTTCTTATTGTCTCTATACTTTGTTTAGGGAACTAAGTTAATAGGATCAGAGAACTAGGAAAGTTGAATTAGTAATCAGTATATTGCCTGGTAAGAATAAAATCAAACCATACAATCCTTCTCTTGTTTTTTGTTTTGAATGGAGAGGTGCTTGCTAAGGGGAGAAACTTCATAAATATGATCAATGTGGAAAATCAGGAAAAAAAATCAAAGGTATATATACAGACTATAAGGCTGTGGATGTAGCTCAGTGGTGCAGCACCTGCCTGGCAAACATGAGGTTGTAAGTTCGATTCCTCGTACAAAAAAAAGTTCCTTCTATATATAGACAGTAGCAAATCCACTGTAATTTGTTTCACCCATAGCCAACCCTACATGGGATATTTGAATAAAACTCTAAATAACGCTTTTTAAGTTTTTATTCAATTTTTGTAAGACTTGGTATATTCACTTTCCTGATATTCACTGATCTAGTTTTGAAAGAAAATGAGAGTTAAGGAAACATCTCAGTTTAGTTTCAGTTTCAGCTACCATTAATTTAAGT